CGAACCATCATACTCAAAATTAGAAACACGAATACGCATGCAGTATTTCATATTACGCATGTTGTTGTCTTTTTTGTTTGTATCTTTTTTTTGTCGTGCGTCCTAAACTTAGAGCCTATATTTGCAGGTTGCGTAAAAATGTGTCAACAAGGTACAAATTGTTATGCGAAGCTCTTTGGGGGTCGTCATTTTATCTCTGACCGAGGTGCCCAAACGTGTGTTGTGACACATATGATGCAATTTAGAGTGTGAATGGCGTTGTAAAGAATTGAAATTTTCTGTGGCGGTAGTCAAATTCATTGATGATAGTTTTTGTTGCGGTTTCTATTGTTCTACAAAGAATTAGTAAAAGTTATAGCAAAACAAGCATTACTTATCAGCCCATCCTTGTATTGTTTTATGTCCCATGAGCAGCAGATTAAGACCAAAATGCAATTTTACAGCACATTTTGAACCTGGATGTGCAGACTTTAATCAGAAACACGAATTTGCATATGCCATTTTGTATGCATGATGTTGCTTGCCTTTTTAAGCTTCAGGCAAGGACTGCTATACTCAGTATAGTAAGTCATTTGCTTCAGGTAAACAAAACAAAACAACAAAAGTTGTTCGAATTTCTAAACTGCTCTGAAACAGCTCGTTTTCAGGAGATGTGGAAATACCAGAATGGGCGTCCTCTATAAGTTACGATTGAAGTTCAAGAAATCTTATAGAGATATTTATTTTAGAAGACAATATATCCAGTTTCGTAAAAATGTTCAGTAGGAGAGCCTATAAAAACCAAAAACATATTTGCTTCTCAACATTCAGTCGCTTTGAATATCTTGAAAGCAATCTCCTCGTATTATAATATATTAAGATATCGGTACCAGACTAAAGTTCTGAGTGGTTTTAACAGTCATTGTATGGCCATGTTAAGTCTTCAGAATGCCATGGGAAAAAGCTCTTCATGTACAAATCAAGAGATGCCAGTTTTATTTTGTCAAACTTCAAGTATCGCACTAGATAGTTTGTAAGTGTTTTAGCACTAGTAAGCTGCATTTTTCAATGTATGCTTCCGTGGAAGCTGAGAACGTATCTGAGTGTTTTAAATTGTTTTAAGGTCAGCTGGAGTAACAACAAATGTAAAGCGCACAGTGCAGGCTGCAAAGTGTGGATACGCCCTTCATACTTCTAATAACTATATGTATTATTGTGTGATTGTTATTATCATTATTATGATGAATATCATCATTATTATTATATTCTTATTCTTTTTCTTCTTCTTCTTATTCTTCTTCTTCTTCTTCTTCTTCTTCTTATTATTATTATTATTATTACTATTATTATTAATTACTATTATTATTATTATTTCAGTATTATTATCAACCGTATTATTATTAACTTTATTATTATTAACCTTATCATTATCGTTATCATTATCATTATTGTTATACAAAATTGATGTGCAGAATGTAGAAGTTTGAATTTCCCTTTGCTGTAAAAAGCTACCTGCTCTAGCGGTCACCTGTCCAAAACAATCACCGGTATATATATTATACAACACTTCTCATGTATCCCCTGGCGTTTTTCCACATGGTAATGACACTGTCCGAGATGCCCACCTGTCTAAGACAACTACTTTTTTTTCTCCTATTTAATGGGTGGCCATCTTTGTGACAATCCTGACAATAGGTTGCTTCAATTTAAGTGGTGCATGTTTTTTCGGTTTTATTATTTGATTAGTCTGCAGTATTGGAAAATATATGCTATGATGACTGAAGAGGCAGGGAAGAAGTGTGCCATTTATTTTATTCTATTTTCTCCTGAAAACAAAAACACAATTTAAAAAACCGCCAAACAACAGAAACCAATACGTGGGGACAAAAAAAAGAGGACGCCCACTGTAACTTCGCCTTTGCACCGACTGTGTTTTCGAATATTTCTGCTCTCGTTGAAAAGATAACTGAATGACATAACAGCAAGATTACCTATTTTAATATTTTCAGAGAACTTGTTTCAAAAGGTCAGAGTCTTAAGATGTCATCATATATACGTTTCTGTGATTTGCTGAAAGACTACAAATTACTTTTCCAACTTGTAAAAGGGTGCCGCATAATAATATGTGTCCATGCATGAATTTAAAAATACATATTTTAAGAGTTTGCATTTGGCGATTTCCCAAAACGCATGAAGATTTGCAATCTTGAAACTTCTTTACCTTTTGTTACTCTTTTGATTTTTGATTTTTAACGGCGTACATTTCATTGAACGTGGTCTTAAATTTTGAGCTCATTTTGTAATACACAAAGATATTCAAAACAGAGTTCATTATTTCCAGAAGCTTCCAGAAGACCATCAAAGACACAAATAAATTCCTCATGCGGCCAGTTGTTGAGAAAGTCGGATAAAGAATCCCGATGGAGATAGAAATGTTGGAAGGCGTGGTGCATACGATGAACACTATGGTCACCACTGTGACCATCTTGGTGAGGGCTGTAGACTTCCGAGACTGTTTGGAGACGTCCTGTTTGTCTTGCGTATTTGCTGGCGGAATATTTTTCTCTTCTTTCTTCGTGTTTCGTATTTGTGAGTCGCTGTTCGGATACCCAGACCCGTGTTCTGCAGACAATGACGGGGTTGTTACAACAGAAGAAGTCGCCCCAGCCAAAGATGACGATAGGCCATTTCTAGATCGCTGTGTCCCTGTTGTTTTCTGGGTATTGTCAGCAGAGCTGTGGTTTTCGCGCCATTTTGCCGACCGCATCACTTGTTTGGCGAGTATCATAGTGCTCAAAGAGATTATGATCAAATTCACCAAAGGGAGGAAAGAAAAAAGTGGTGCGCTCATTCCTTTGTAACTGTTTAGCCGATCTGGTATGAAAACCACTGTGAGAAGTGTCCGGTTAAGATGAGGATGGAAAACCCACTGAAATGTACGGACGTAATATAAAGGGAAGTGCAGGAAGAGCACTGTGACTGTGATGCATATTACTGACGTGATCGTAATTCTCGGGGTAAATGAGGTCCTTGTCCAGAACGGAAACATGACACACAAACAACGCTCAGTGGAGATATAAGCTGTGAGCCAACTGGAAACCTTTGCCAAAATGAGTCTTGGGTAGTCAGCAAGCATGGCACGAACTCCAAAAACTTCAAAATCAAGATCAGACAATCCAACCACGTAGACCGCAGTAAAACAGCAATCGAACACGGCAAATAGGGAAACGCCCAGGTCAGCTACTGCAAGACTGCAGAGGCTAATGTTGGTTTTGTCAGAAAACCCCTGCCTTCGGAACACTGAGACGATGAGAGAATTGGCAACAACTCCGAAAAAGCTTATAACAATTCCGAATAGGACCATCCCTACAATTACAAGTAACCTTACTACTTCATCACTAACGTAAACAGACGAACTTTCTTCTGCTGCCACTGGTTGGAGAGTGGCATTAAATGAAGCTGCCATTTTATGTTTGTTATTTCTGAGATTGTTTTCTTTCAAAATAGTAAAACAGAAAATCTTGTTGATTGTAATTATGAAAGAATCTACATATAGACAATCACGAATATCTGCACTTTCCACCTAGTGAAAATCTTACGTTCTTTATGTTTGAAAACCACACATCGTGCAGATTACAGGCAGAATGTTTTTCAGTTTTCTGATGCACATCTAAATAAAACCGTTTATTCTTGAAGTTTTCTAAACAGTATCTTGTCTACATTAGCTCTGGAGATGATGCATCCCACTGTAGACAGATTGAGGAATTAGTTATCCAGAAATGATGATTTATCCCAAAAACATCTAGAGTGCCTTTGGCGAACACATACTGGGTGAAGATTTTTTTTAAAAACCCAGCAACTTCTCCCCAAATATTGGCAATTAACTGATTATGATCGTCAGCGCAACATATAATTATTTTTTTCTTAGTTGTGTCCGTTTCTCACGATTTTGAAAACTTTGGTTCGAAAATGGTCATACTTGTACTCTTATAAAAACCGTATTTTTCCATGGTAAATACTGTAGTTGTCGAGTGAAATAAGGAGTCTAATAACGAGAGCTATTTTTTTTTTCTACGGTTACCAATAATTCATAGATAATTCCGCCTTTCTAATAGCTTCACAATATTTAAAGGCGTGTTACCTTAAACAGTGACAAACTACCCTTATAGTACTTCCTTTATCAAATTTTTGGTAGCATATAATGCCAGATCAATAGGGGAACTAAGACCTTTTTTATCTATATAACAAGAAAAAAAAACTTACAAAGAAACCACTTCTAAGCGTTATGACATTTCTAAGAGTCGTAGAAACGAGACTGATATTCTCATAAACTGTTGCTTTACAGTATTAATAATTGAACACATTATGTGAAATTACAAACGATGCTGGGCTCTGTAATTACTTAAGCAAACATTGATTCTATCCGTTCGACTGGAAATTTCAAATCAATTTCGCAAAAATGGAAAAAATTAGAAATAAGTATGTGTACCTTTTGATACTTAATTCCCCATCGACTGAAACATTTTTGGTCTTACGATTAAATCATCATTGTATATCATATTCCTTGCACAAAGAGATTACAGCTTTGATCTTGTCCTATAAATAATTGTTTCCTCTATCGTTCGCCCAGATTACTGACAGACATATACTTTGTAATGTAATGTGAACAGGTAAATCAGCAGTAGACTATCAACTCACTGACGACGCGCATTCTAGACATTCGATAACACTTAGATATGTTTCTGTTTAGGAGCATAACTTCACTTTTCAAATAGACATTTCGATTCTGTTTTCTTCATCTGAAACGTTAAAAGCCATACAGTGAAATATGCAGACTCATAGGGGTTAGGCTACAGGACTCGTAATCGTGAGGTTGCGAGTTCGGGGGTTCGAGCCGCGGGCCCGACGTTGTGTCCTTGGGAAAGGCACTTTACACGAATGTTCCTCACTTCACCCAGGAGGGAATGGGAACCCGGCCATAGACAGTGAAAGATCTTATCAGTATGTTAGGGTTTTAGCGCCTATAAATGGCTGCTTGCACTGTATGCTTCCCAGGAAGTTGAAGTTGTTTCAGAATTGTCTCAGGTCTGCTGGGGTAATAGTATAGATTGTGAAGCGCATAGAGCTTGCTTTTGGGCGGGGATTTGCGCTATTCAAATGCTGTCTCTTATTATATTTTTTATTTTTGTTTGATGGTTTGAAATGTGCCTAAAGATTTACTTTACTCTGCTGCCTGTCGGACATAAGTCGCTACCCCAAAATTACAAATTCAAATTTCTATCTGGTCAGTACCTAGTTTTGAGAAATTGAACGTCAAACATTTTGAGTTTCACAATATGTCAAGCTTTTTTTTTCAGATGCAATTCTTTGAATATCCTGATAACGACTCCAAAAATCTTAAGATTTTTATAAAGCAGATTATTGATAGTCCAAAAATATCAGGTAGAGCTTTATAATTCTAAAATAGTGAACTGTCTACTACGTCCTTAATAAAGAGCTAAACCTGAAATATGACATTTTTGCATTTAGTGCTTGTGTAATTGACGGATGCTCTTACGTCATTTGCTCGTAATTTCTTATCGAAAAAAAAATATCGTCCCTACCTCTCCTCGATCTTTTCTTCGTATGTTTATCTCTGGTAACACCTCAAATTGTTCTATCTTCGCTACTTATATGACCTATTTGTGTTGTAAGTGCCAGAAACCTCTGACTAAAATTGAACTAAAACTAAAACATTCACTGTGTTCTTGTTGGACTGGCAGAAAACTGGGCTCTCTTTTAGACGGCAACAATAACCTGAAACAGAACTATCTTCACAATGTTTGTTTTGTTGTTGTGGGGTTTTTTTAATTA